ACACATCACTACATTTCACCTTTGACTGTATAACCCATCCATATTCTAACAAAGGTATCAGTGTCTGGTGAATTTTGGATGATACAGACCTGCATTCTGTCTCAGATGTTACTTTGCTGTCAGTTAAGATGGTACTGAGAGATTTTAATGCAGGAAGAAGCCATTCCTTCTTGGTCACTTGGACATGTATACCTTTTCACAAAAACTGAAAACAGTTGTTCATAGAACATTAATTGTCGTAGAAAAAGTGATAATTTCAAACAATCAAGCCTTTCCCAAGGCTGCTATAGTCTATGACATTGGCCGAATATTATGCCATATCCCCGCTCCTCTTGTAGTTATTTTGGTAGTCTACCAGATCTTATTGGCTTGTGTTTGGGGCCATCAGTGATTTGGTAGAAGCACAAGAACTAAGAAATCAATGAGACATCATTGGATAATGTGGCATGTTACAAATAGTGTAATTTTTTGTAATTGTGCTGTTTTGATCCTATCTATGATGGATTCATTCAGATGTATTTTCAGTTCATTTGGAATTCCTCCCAGAGCACCTATCGCCTCTTGAATCACTGTTGCTGATTTTCTTTTCTCAGAGTTATTGAATCTCAGTTTGTAGGTCTCAATATTTCATAATTTTTACTTCTCTATATTTTTTATTTCTTCTGTCCTTCAAAATTGATATTTCTATAATCCAAGATTTGTGTTCTAATTGTTTAACAATTTGAATCTTAAAAGTCCCATAAGATTTTTATTTCTCCACTGTTGTTGTTTTTGTTGTTATTAAAATAGAAGGTATGAAAAGAATGCCACCCTTCAGTACACTGGATTACGCTGAGATAGCACATTCTAATGCACTTTAAATTTAAGATAGAATCAAATTGGATTGCTAGCTACCTTCTCCTTCAAATTCAAGACTTCAATAAGAACTGCTACACAATGACTGGAACCCTGTTGATGTCTTATGCCTCCATGGAAGTAGTTCAACATTTTAGTAAGATGTGAAATGTCCATATTTAATTCAGGGTTGGAGAAGTAGAGTTGAGTATGTGGTGCCACTGTATGATGAGCATGCACACTGGGCATGATGCATACACAGGTCTGTATTTCACATTTGGTTGTGTATTTGGTTGAAAAATGTTGATGTAGTCTTTCAGCTAATATACAGTTGCTCCTCTGTTCTTGCAGACATCAATTCCATGGTTTTACATATTCATGGGGGGCAACCTCTGTTTATATCAAAGGGGCATGCCCCATTGAAGCCTATGGGGCTTGAATATTTGCAAATCTCCATTTTTGTGTGTGGCAGGGGGTCCAGAACGGATCCCCCACAAAAATGGAGGACCGACTGTAGTAGAATTTGTTCCTTCATTGATAGGATGGCAATGCAGCCTATCTAATTGATATTTGAAGGGGAATCAGAGAACTGTCTGTTGGATGGTGTCTGGAATTTAAATACTTTATTAGTCCAAATCTGTTTTAAAGGAGAGATGCACTGTATTTCTGTTTCAACTGTATTATTTCTAAATGTGTATCTAACATAATTTTAATTTTTTTAAAATTTATTTTCTCATATCCCACCTTTCTACCAATATGCAATTTTGGGGCAAATCCATGCACACTTTTGTCCTTTGGGGGACAAATTATTTTAATATTTTTGAAATTGCATAATGTCCTCTGTTTATAAAGTTGAAGAGATCTTAAACACTCTAGTGGCTGCTGGTGGATTTTAGTTTGAACTTCTAATGAACTATCCAAGTTC